TGGGGACCCACCCTCCTGGTAGCTGCCCACCAGGGCCCTTGGGGCCTCCTCCAGTCCCAGAGTCCTGCCAAAGGGCGGGGACCAGACCTCAGAGTGCCCATCAACCAAGTCCCTTTGCATGCCTGGCCTCCTCCATCAGGGATTCCCCCAACCCCTTGGGTGGCCCCCCTGCAGAAAGATGAGCAGACGCAGAGCTCAGGCTCACCAGGGAGGCAGAGGTGTGCCCTGAGCCCAGGCCACGTCCACAGTGGCTGTCGAGTGCTTTGCTCCAGTCAGCAACTCTGAGGTCACATGCCACTGACCACTCCGTGACTTGGTGCCCAGAAGGGTCACTCCCTTCTTGGCCTTCACCCTGGGACAAAGTAGGAAGAAGAAAAGGGAGAGGGTCAGGCTAGGGCTCAAAGGCTACTCTCCTGGCCACCACCCTAGGCTGGGTTGGTGGAGAGGGAGCAGAGGAGCTAAGTCACCCCAAGTCCTAGACTCAGTGTTCAAGGTAAATGTGGGGAACCTGGCATCACATAGCTGAAACCTCTGGCCCTCGGTGGAGGCTGCAATCCCTTCTATCAGATCTCTGCCAAGGCTTTGCCTAATCTCTATAGAATAGCTTAGTGACAGGGGACTCACTACTGCACACCTCCCATTCCTTTTTCAGAAAGTCCATGAAAACTGGAAACATCTTCCCTGTATTTAGCTAAAACATAACAGCCATGGATTCTGCTGGGCTGAGTGAGGACAAGTCCCCTCCAGCTTAATTGCTATAGTTCTGAAAGCTGGAGAAGTATGGAGGTGTCCTCTCAGTCTTCTCCTCTCCAGTCCCTCCATGCATTATTTATTTTATTTTTGCCATGGTTCCAAATCATTTTATAGCCTGGTCACCCTTCTCTGGACACTGTAATCATAACGTGTAGTGTCCTGTACTAAATACAACACTTTGGCTGCACTCTAAATTAACACTGACTAAGCCAAGGTGATGATCACCTCCCTGATTCTACATGCTCTACTGCTATTAATGCAGCCCAAGATCTCTGATGACTGAGGTAACTCATATTCACATTCAGGTATCAGTCACAGGTATGACCCTTTCCAAGAATATTTGAACTTCAAGGCAGTACACACAGGAGAGAAGGCAATGCATAACTCAAAGAAATTGGAGGTTAATGGTGATGTTTCAGGTCCCATGCATACTGTGTGGGATGGGGGAGAGCATTTTTGTGGGGCCTTATGTTCTCCCAATTACCCAACATAACGCAAACTATGGATTCCCGCTGTGAAATACCATTATGTTTTATGGCAATGTGAAACAATATGAAGCAGTTTTGAATTCATGCACTGTGTCCTTCTCGAGGTATAAAAAGAGCTGGACTCCTGAAAAATTTCTCCCAGCTCTAGGATGGGGGCACATGTAGATGTCTCAACACACACACACACACACACACACACACACACACACACACAGAATTTTGGGGCTTCCAGCCAAGAGGCTGTTCTCCGATTCTGCATTTCTCTTCCTTGGCCTTGGTCTCCTCATCTGTAAGACGGGAGAGTTGCACCAGTTTATGTCCTGCCAGCCGCAATTCAGTCATTCTGGACATGCATGCTTGTGAAAACTGATATTCCCCCTTTACCAGGATAGAGGGGGCAGGACTGTCTGTTGCCATTAGACAGATGAGAACACGGAGGCTCGAGTAAGTGAGGTCTCTTCCGGAAGAGCTGGGATTAGGACGAGGGGCAGGGATGAGCCACCCCCACACAAGGGCTCAGGTGTCCATGTGACTTCAAGGGGACCCCATTCCCCCCGCCCCCCGCCCCCCTCTACCTGAGTGTGAAATGGTCCACGCTGGGGCTGGAGGGCGAGGAGGAGTTGGGAGCCAGGTAGAGGAGGATGCTGAGCACCTCTCCCGGCTTGAGGGGC